GCTTAGACGGAAGTCCACGGAGATATCACGAGATCGTATAATTCAAAAGGTATCCACCGTAAGAAGCAGTTATCGTATACAAACGTTTCTGTTGCATTATGCTTGACAACTTTCTATTTTACTCGTCAGGCCTCGAAGATGAGTTGCTCCGCCATTTTGGTCTCTTGTAAATTCGCGAAGAACTCGAAATTTGAAAGTGATGTTACTCACGTTTATTCAGTATTATCGTTGAAGAGTGTGATTAATAATTAATGAATTTCTCATCTATCGATGAATTGATAATGGCAATTTTCAGTAATGATTACATGGAAATTATTTTGATACGTGAATCTCTCAACCATCAAATATCTCAATAAAAATGATATAGAAATCATTTTAATACGTGAATTCCTCTAAAATCGAATATCTCAATAAAAGTTATCGCTTATCCATCAAGTAAATGACAGATTCAATCGCTATATAAATTCATACGTATATTATTATTTCACGGATACAGAAAACATAATGGGTTGCCTAATCCTATACCTGATAAATTTTTATGGATGCTATTCAATTCGAGCGAGCAGTACGACGTTGACGAGAGGGCGGTTTTATGGGGGTTCCGTTTTCCATTAGGGTTCAACGTGCCAACGCATACGGTCCCAATAACCGAACAGCAGGGAGGGACACGTTTGGAAATCGGAGAAACTGGTTATTAAGGATATTGGATCCCTTGACACGAGAAACGTTACGCACCAATTACATTAGCTCGCGATATTCTATCGCAAAAGTGGCCTGAATTGTACCGCTGGAAAATGCAACCGAGTGCGACCATCGCGGTTTTGCTTTTCGCGTTTCGCGATGGGAATGGAGACGGGCTACTTTTTCATTTTTAATCCGGTCAAATCCTCCTGGTTTCGATCTTTCCTTTTGCTTTTCTTTTCGAGACAGTTTCTACAGTTATTTCCTTTTCAATTTTAACGAGTATTTTAACATCTCGCGGTAATCTGAATTTTACTGTTTCTTAATTCCGCTCTTCGTAACCGAAAAATGCACCAATCGACGTTATCAGTGTTTTCAAAAATGTCACAGGAATTAACCCTTTGATAAGCGTTCCGTGATAATCGAACGCTAGATAATATCAGCGCTCTTCATACTCTATATTTTATATTTACATATTATTTATTTTACAAATATAAAATACAAAACATTTGGCTAATGTAACATATAGTATGACTATTAATGCCATAACTCAGCCGTACACAGAAACTGCTTTACTTTCTATTTGTCAGCAGTCAAAGGGTTAAACAAAGAAAGAAACGTGTAAAAACGAAGATCGACATTGGTTTGCAAATTGTGAAAAGTGAAAAATCTTTCTACAACGTTTCCTCTCAAAAAAGAAAAAATTGGAATAAATCTCGAGAAGAGAATCGAATCTGGCCCTACGACGTTCCCTAAACGCGACCTAAAATCCGTGAAAAGAGATTTCGGGGGGAAGCCCCGCCGAAACGCTGGCAAGTTAGCCCCAAAGAAAGAAAGATTTTGATCTGAAGTGCTAGGAGGGGAGAGACACCTGCCCGGTGTATAAAAAGGGTCGGAAGGGTGCGCGATGGTGAATATCGTGCCTGTGAAATTACAGTACGTCTTGAGGGAATTAATGCGACCTGACGTGCAGCACCTGTTGCGAACTTTGAATGAAAGAATCCTTGAATTCGTCCTACGTGAACCATCGTCATCCACCTAACCTCAATATCTCCTCCCCTTTGTGCAAAGACAAACCTTTGCAGAGAAAATAACACATAGGGTGCCTCACAAATGTCCCTTAAAAATTTTGGGATCTTTAAGGTTAGGTTTGATTGCAATAATTCTTTTGAAATGCAACTTAGAAAATAACGTTCGTGTCTCTGAAAATAATTTAGATAATGAAACTCTTCTCTACATTTAAATACAGTTCATCCTTTTTGCAAAATTCAAAGAATTTGGTAGGGACGCTCGTTTGAGCTGCGTATAAAATTAGAATCATGAATGAAAACTTGGAGATAATGCTTCGTTATCCAGCCAAGGTGAACAATGCCGTTTACAGGCTAGCCATAGTCGAAGCGTTTAAACAGCGATCGCGTTATGGCGTTACAATCGACTCCCAGGTATCCCTAACATAACCTGTAATAACAGCGATCCACTCGAACCGTTACGCTCTCCCCCCCGCAGATTCTATTGTCCTCGACACGATAATTTGGTCGAGTTAGGGGTTGCAGCGGAGAGAAACGTGGAATATTCACTGGAACATATGTCGAGCCAATTAACGTTCACTGGTAGCGATTCAGGGGAACGTGTGTCCAATTCAAAGTGAAACCGCCCCCTTTCCAGTGAAATTTAGAACAAGAACAAGTTACAGTAGGATCGATGGTTTATCTGATGGTAGACAGGAATTTCCAGGAAAAACGGTAACAGATGGTGTGAACCGAGAACCATGCGAGTTTTGTGAATTAACAATTCAAATGGTCGTCGGTAGAAAGGTCCGAAGCTTTCCTGAAGGCTTCTTAATACCTGTACCAGGTACGAACTGAAAGGGTGAAGTGACTGGACGAAATTGTGTCGCCTAGACTTAGCACGCTAACGAATGTGAAGAGTGAGTAACGCGTGAAGAATTTGGAAACGAATCGATCGTATCGATGATACAGAAGGAAAGATCCTTATAGAGAAAAGGAATTTTTCAAAGGAATTTAATCTTTTCTATTTTTAGTATTAATTATACAGGCAAAATTTGGTGAAATGAACACCTCTCCAATAAAAATCTGCTTAAAATAAATTGTCTTAATTTATTCTAAATAAATTCTCTTTAATTTCCTAATCATTTCAATAATACAATCTTCTTTACCGACGGTCGTACGTTTGAATGTCGAATGTAGGTCACTGGGAAAAACAAAAATCGAGCGTCACGTTCAAGGTGACTCGAGAATTCTAGAGGAAACCGTATAGTGTTGTCACCTGATAGTGTGAGGTTGAATTGTGTATTCATACAGCTCTTAAGAAAGTTATTACAAAGGGCATGAAAATACGCGTTAGCGTATTAACACGTTGCATCCGCATCTTTACATCGAGAGTATTTGAAGTCTTCTACCGCTGTCGTCATTATTCCATCGTAAATATGAGAGGACAGAGACCTTTTTCGGTTGCTTGGTGGAGATAACGTCTCACGAAGATCGAAGGTGGAGTGTTTCGCGGACGTTCCTTGTTAGAACGCTGGGTTACCGGTTCGTGTATAGCTGGCCAGAAGGCTCGATTCCGGTGTGGTGGGGGGAAGGTCGAAGAAGGCCGCAGCTGGCTAGATCCTGTCCGCGTACATACAGTTGAACGCGGCTGAATGTATGGAGCATGTTGGTCGGGCCTTACAATGTCGTTTTCCTCCCCACCACGTTTGCGGACCTGCAGTTGGCAACACGTATGTCTTTACCCGATCACGCGTCGCCTATCGCGCGGACAAATTCTTTGTCTTGGAAAGGGTGCCAGTAAAAGTATCACTTTGATAGCTACCGCCTCGGCTACCTGCCTCCGATCGTTGGTAGAGTCAATGGTTTCAGTCGTTCGAATCGCGAACGTGAAGGGAACACAGGTTAATTTTCGAGAAAGGGAATACTATTTTGAAAGGTTTGTACGGATTTTCGAAATATTTCGGTCGACAGAGTTTTGGAAATTGGACGGACGGTGGTTTGGATTTGTGAGATATTAACGTACAGATCGATTTTCATGAAACTTTTTATTCAGTCTGTTAGTTAGATTGTTTACAAGAAATGTGCGTAGTACAGGTTTTTTTTTCTAGACAAGTTTCTTCTTTTAATTACATCGATATTCTGATGTAAGATTCATCTTATCGAACGTAGCAGGTAACCTTAAACGATTTCTAAACCGCGACCCGTGAAGTTAGCGGCGACCGTACTTGTGCTACATATCCGATAATCTCTTTCACACGTTCCTTCATTCACCGTCTCTCCCTGGTCGCTGTCTTCGTTCCTCGTGTATAAACAGGCTTCTGGCTCTCTTTCTTCCCTTCGTTCACTGGAACGAAGAGAGAGAGAAAGAGAGGAGAAGTCCAACAAGCTCCCTCATCGGAGGATATGTACATCTCCTGAAAACTATCCATTCTGGACTCAGTTCATCGCATGTGGTTTACAATCGGTCCCTCTTTCTCCCACCAGACGCACGACCACCCCATTGGCCATTTTCCGTGCGTCGGTCCTCGTCTGGCGCACGTCGCCCGTCGCTTTCCATCGAATCTACCAATCAGCGCGCTTGGTCCAGCGGGCATGACGCGACCGTTCCACCGAGAGGACCGACCGACCGGACTCTGCGGAACAGTCTGTCAGTAAACTCGGTGGCGTGCGTTTGGCTGGCGCGCGTGCTAGCAAACCGTTTCCATGCGTGTCACGACACGGATACATGACAGCCGATCTCTTGAAACGGTTATTAATATTTATAAGCAGTCTGTTAACACTACGAAGTGAATTCGGCGTGTATTTGAGATAATCGTGAGATTCCCGCGAAATAAATGCCAATGAAATCGGGCAGTCGTGTTTGAATTTATCCGCGAGTGAAGAATTGCGCGTTGAAACAGATATATACGTATATATAAACGCGTACCAGTAGTATTATTGCTATACATATTATTGTATCGGTGAAATTTTGGAGAAAAGAAGAAAAGATGGTGCGTGGTTTGTCGCAGTGGACGAAAACTTTGAGCTTCCCCGCGAGGGTGTCCCCCCAGAGGCCTGCCAAGGAGTCAAAGGGGTTTCATATGAGCCCCAGTGCTAGCCCTACGTCGCCACCCAGCCCAATCAACGACAACATGGACAAGGCGCCGATTATTACCGATGAGGTTAGATAACACCACTTTTTTCTTTTTTTTTTTTATTTTTCTTTTTTATTTCTAACACATTCATCGTTGTTAGTGTAGTAGTGCTTTTGGGAATTTAACATTTGCAAGACTGGTGGCTGTATCGTGTGGTGTTTTTCGGTTTGAATTTTCGATTTTAAAAGGTGAATTGTAGACTTTAGGAAACACCAAGTAGCTGTTTCGATGTATCGTTCGATTTGCAAACGATCTCAGCTGGCGTGCCAAATTCCACGTAGGTCGTTTCCTCGAATATACTGGAGCAGAGTTTCAAGTTTATCGTCATACGTGTTTCAGATAACGGTCTGTTGCTATACGCTTCGAGCAGCCATGGTTAATCGCTGGTTATGCGTTTCAGTTCTCCCGTACGTTTTATGCTTGCACGAATGGCCCGCGCGATTGTTTACTTTCACATTGTCGATTGTTGTAGCTTGTTAGGAACAAATATAATTAACTACAACGTCATGCATAATTGAAATTTTCCGATCCAGAATAGTCGTTTAAAATTGACTTTCAAATATATTTTTCGTATTTTAAAAGAATACAGATTTTTACTATTATTCGTTTTAATCCTTCCTCGTTCGTTGCATTAAACTTCACAACTGTACGGAACAAGCGTGTAACGTAATCTTCATGCGAATAAAGGGAAACCGCAGCACGGGGGAAATCTATTATTGGATAAAACGGAAACGGAGGGTTGCATTTCGATATCGTTTACAACAGTGCCATTCATGATTCTCTATCGTCAACAGCGTTGTTGGCACGCGGACTCGATTTCCTCTGAGTGCGCGCGCCCCTTTTGAATACGTTGCATATTAACTCTCTTATCGAAGTAAATACATGCGTGCGTGGCCATCGAACCGTGAGCACTCTTGCCAATGTCAGAACAAAACACTGTATAAATCTCGAGCACTGAAAGGGAGTCTCCATGTTCTCTGTTCGAATATATTCGTAGGTTATTCTAAAGCTAAACGATGTCTTTGTTACGACTGTACAGTATTGTGTTACATTTTCTAAAAGCATATGCTCCTCGACTAACTTTGTTTCTGCTTAGTTACCATATGATCAATGCTGTCAACAAGTTGTAAATATTAGTCTGTATTACGTATGTACTGACATTTGGTACGACCATTTTTGATCACCCTGTATATGCACGTTGCTCGCCGGTTAAAACAGACACATAACAGAAAAGGTCGCGTTACCACGAGACGCGACAGCCAGATGTTCCAAAGAGACCATGAACGAAACACCATACCGTTCCCGTCGTCTGTTCGCCGCGTGTGTTTTCCAAAGAAAGAGTTCCTAATCATGCCGACAGCGCGGCTGATTTATGCCACGGCGACCAGGCAGCACACTTTCAAATTGTTCATCGTGCAGGCCTTTTCGAACTCGGCTTTGCTCGCAGGATCGCTCGTCCCTTTATTATCGATTGCATATCGCGACGATTACCAACCGCGCAGTAAAATTATCGACCTCGTGTTAGGTTAGATTATAATCGTTCACAGACAAGCCCACTCTCGGATCGTTCTGTAAATTGCTCGATAAATTGTTTTAAAATTATCAGAAATTGCTACGTGCTCTTATCTAGGATCTACTTCTGTTCAAATATTTGATCTATCGCCCTCCTGCTTTTTGACCCCTTGCTCTTATGTTTTTATGCGACGAGGTAAATGGAGTTTATTCATGGGGCAAACAAGGGGCCGCTGGGAGTCACTTAACATTGGCATCGTACCGTTCCCCCTACAATATCGACCGTGTATTTAGGAAATCGAGTTCGTCTCTTTTTGCGGTTGGTTTAATCGTTCCTCAGCCCCCTTGGCGTCGCGTTTCCAACACACGTGCGCCGCGTTTACGATTCCCTTTGTACGAGCACATTTAGAAACAGCCCGTACACGGAGGCTGGTGGTCGGGAATGCCAACTTTCTGCAGGGGGGGATTCGTTTGTGTAAACACAACCTCTGGGAAGATGACAATGGCGCGACTGCAGTCGCTCGACGGCACGTGCCCCACGTTGAAAGCAACTTCTTTTTTTCTCCGCCAGCCAATTCGTGCTACCAGCGTGTCCTATATACCATATCGGTCTGCCTTAATGGTGTTTTCAAAACAATAATCGAAACCAACATTAAAGATTCGCATTGCCGTATTCATCGTGGGAAGTCCATCGAATTGTCATGGTGTCGCGAAATTGGAAAGGAAGATCGTATCTGCGATCGGTTTTCTTCTGTTAGAAAAACGACCCCTTTCTGGGTTTTACCAGGAAGGCATATGGACCAGTTTCAAGTATCGCGGACGACTTGACGAACGAACCGGAGAAAGCGAAGCCGCCCGATTGAATTTATCTAACTGCTCCCACGGAAACGTGTGCATTTAGAGAAATCTAAGGTACATAACAAGTTTAATCTTTTGCCGTAAAACTTTTAATTTATTCGACGCGAATGTGGAAAGAAACGGTGTAACAAGAAGAACATCTCGAGACGTCTGTTCTCGTTATCGCGTGAACAAAGCGGGACCGAAAGATATAAAGACTTTGCTCGGTCCGATTTTCGCTTGTATAAGCGGTATAACTTTTGCTTAACGCGTTGTAGCAGAAATCGGCCGCGAATTTAACTGAAAACGTGAAGTCGCGGTTAAAGACGTCCAGGCGTTCTCCGGGTATATAAAATAAAGCGACGGCGAGAACCGCCAGTGTCGTGCGGAAGGTGGGGGCAAGAAAAGGACCGATGAGGACTGGTCCAAAGGCGGGGAAAGGCGACGGCGGAAGCGTGGGAACCGAGCGTAACAGATGGCCTCGGCTGCTTCCGAACCCGCTCGGCCTCCTTCGTGCACCTCCGTCGCGTCGACTCCGCTTTCCGTTCTCGCGCGTTTCGACCGCTCTATGTCTCGATGCAGCTCTCGATCCTCGCGAAAAATAGATTCGTCGATCCTTCGTGTGTCTGCCATCGCTAATCGACCCCCATAATTTCTCCATTTGTAGATAAAAGTAACCGACAAAATCTTTTCTTCTCAATTAATTTCGATCTTTTATAGTTTTTGCGAACTCTGCAACCCTTTAGGATATAAATAAGTATTCTACGTTTTATTAAAAATAAAATATCAATTTCTTACCGCTTCTAAAATTGGCGTGAAAATGAAACTAGCTATAGAAAGAACGGTCACGTAGTGAATTCGATTCCATTTCAGATTGCAAAATTGTAAAAGTCGATGAAATGAATAATACGGTCTAGATTCGAACAAGTGACTTTAAGGTTACGAAACTTTTACTGTCACACGATAGATCGAGGTTCAAATGACACCGGTAGAAATAGGTTATATAATTGACTTACGTCGTGTATACCGTACGATTGAGAACGGAGAATAGGTTAAGAGGGTAATGATGCGAAACAAAAAGTGCAATACGAGATACATGCGCGGCGATGCGCGTGCACTAAGCACCTAACCTAACCTAACCTAAGTATTTAACCCGATGCTGAGCATCGGTAAGGTCTCAGAAAATATGCAGACACGTTTTAACACGTTTTAAATGCACTTGTCGCATAGCGTGTTGATTAAATCGAATGTATGTTCCAGATATGAAAAAGTTAGTAAGAAAAATCTGTTCATCTAAAGAAATACGTTAGAAAGTTTCCATAACACGAATACCAGATATTAAATTTCTTCATATTAAGCGAAATTGAAATAACATTAGAGGTTACAGACGTCACTAATGGAATAAACTTTCAGACTACATCAGCGTTCCAAGAAGTTTATTCAAACAGAGTCGGGATGTTTTGCGAATTGGAAAATAATGACGATAAGGGATATTGTCGCAGGAAGTGTTGCGGTCTCTCACTAGTGCATAATCATCAGGAAATGGCACGCATACTTAGAGACCGTTGTGTCACATTGGTTCACTTATCTCTCTCTCTCTCTCTCTCCGTGCAGTGGTTCCCTGTCCCATGGATCGTTGAGACAGATTAATGAAGATCAACATTACCCTACTACTACACACGATTACATTACAAGAATCTCTCTGTTGCCTCTACGTTGGCGTTCCAACTAACTGTCAGGAATAATTATGAGCTCGTGCGTTTTAGATGGTGTAAAGGGATCTCCAAGGGGGCGTATCTGAAATGAAAGGAGAGTTATGATGCGAACCGTCGTTGCTCTGGTATTTACACCACTACCCAATTGCATGGAGACGAAATATTAACCTAACCTTTGTTCTACGATGGCTCTAAATTGCGGATAATTAAAGGTTCCTTTACAACACTTCCAATTTAACAATCTCATATATATTTTACTGTACAGTAGTGTATAGATCACTGTACACAGTACAATATATTTCTCTCTTATATCAGACCTCTTTGAATCATTCATCTTTTCCCACTAATACTTTTTTCTAATTGCAATCAGAAAAGAGATACGACTTGTTCCACTTGCGTGAATCAGCCCGTATAATTACTACCTAAATATTCATAAACACCGTCATTTTCAGGAATTCAAGAATTTTTCACTTCTCTCCCCTCCTATTTCGTTCAGACCGAAGGAGCAGCTTTTTCCCAGCGACTAATTGACCGGGTGTTCCTTAAAATATCACCAAATTAGCCGTCGGTGAGTTAAGAGCGGTCTCCGGAGAGTCAGCTTTTATTAAGCTACGCGTGTGGAGTGACTCGTGACCCCTGTTCAGGAATGCGAGATAACGCGATTGCTTACGAGCCCGCGATAATTACCGCGTGTTAATTTAACAACAGACTCTCTTCCCCCTTTTCTATAGAGAGATCGCCATCGTCACGGCCGGAAGTCGCCGCGTTACTCGTTGTTCCTTCGCTTATTGTTCCCTCTCTGTGCATTCCATCGTAATGAACGTCTCTCCCTTGTCTTCTCTCGTTCTCCTTGCCTTTGGAAACGAGACAGTTGCATAGATCGCGATAGAAATTACCTTTAACAGGTCCCTGTTAAAACTTCTCGAGCGCGGCCGCGCGTTCGTTTCCGGGTAAGGCACTTTT